TGTTGGGTTGCAACAGACAAAGAGAGAAAGAAAAAACTTCATTTTTGTTATGTACTTTTTTAAAATATTTTTTTTTAGACATTCAGCTTAAATGTTATTTTTCATCTAAGACACCGACCTTGGTTCTAGCGCTTCCGGAAGGTTTGTAAGTCCAGATGCCACCCTGATGGCTGGTGACGTCGACGATCATCCGTGGTCAGGACACAGTGGTTATATCAATGAAGGGGGCGTGTGGTGGATGTCACTGATGAGACACACAACACTTTTTAGATCTTTACCTGGATGGGCTGCAGCCGGGCTGAAAACAACGTATAACGTCTTGAAATTGTCCAGTATTCAGAAAGTGCTCCAAGGCGGAGGAGGTGCCGTGTACTGAATGAGGCACAGAATCCCAACACTGGAATACAGTACGCAGTCAATAGTCCTTGTCCAGAAAAAAAAGTTAGTCAAGTTTTTCTCGATGTTTGGGATGAATCTTTCACTTGTCCAACTCGACTTGCTCTATTGGCATCATGTTTCTTGTCACTTGAGAAGGATCCACGAATAAAAAATGAAATGAAATGAAATGAAAAGGAACTAAAAGACTCAAAGATTCTTTTCAGTTTGTGTTTAGAAAGGGCATGAAATCTTTTCTCTGCCTGAACGCTGTGATAGAAGTCTGCTACGTATCATAAAATGAACAGAGCTATGTGGACTGATTGAGTTGGTGGTCCAAGTCTCCTCTAAGTTAGTTCGGCGAAGTCTGTTTATGTGGCAGTTAACTTCTTCTTTGTTGAAGTAAAAAAAAACGAAGAATGAGATGAAGTCGTAGATTATTCAGTCCGCTGACCACTGTGACTGTGGAGAAAAATGAATGCATCCAAGCGTGGTAACATCAGAATAATCCAGCGCTGCTGCAGGTACACCAAGCTTTTTATTTATTTCACCAGAACGAAAGAAACGACTAACTGGTTAGAAAGAAAGGACTTCACTTCAGTTAACCGATCCCTAATTATTACTTCGTCGACGTTCGTCCAACTGCTTCCACGACCGCACGCGGAAAGCTCATGTTTTCAAGTGATTCTAAAGAGGGGACTAGCAAAACGTGCAGTTTTATCATTGTGGCAGGGGTGTGGGGCGAAAGTGGGTCCCCCCCCAACCGTCCTGGTCGCTTTTCGGCGCGTCCGTCCATCAGTGGTTCGACGTGGGACAGCAAGCGTGAACCTTTACAATGTCGTACGTCGAGAACCCTGCGCCAAACGCCGCTTCGCCCCGCCCACCAGCCACACGATCTTATTGTTAAGGCCATCCATTGGGCTGAAAGACTGCACCATCTGAGGACACACAGCCAACTGGCGCGCGGGAACCACCCACCGCCTCGGGAAAGCGCGCGTTTATTGATCTCGGTGGGCGGTGGCCTCACTCGAAGCCGTTTCAGGATCCGCCCATTTTTTTCCCCCTTCAATTCTTCTTTTTTTTTTTTTTTTATTCTTCCGCGCTTCGCTCACCCGCCATCAAGATCTCTTTCTGAATCTCTTCACGTCCAATATGACTCTTCCATGCTGCTAATTTATCCCCCGCGTTTATTTCTGAGCTATTGCTAAAGAAAATGAGAAATCAACAACAACAACAACAACAGCAGCACATGGGTGGGGAGGCGAGATGCGTGACAAACTCAGATCATACTCAATTATATGGGCTGAGAGAATGACACGTGCTGTGCGTATTGCCAGATGAAATTGCACATTTTTGAGGTTTTGGGGACTCCACAGCAAAGTTCCCAGCTGTGTGCATGTGGTAGAAAAGTGAGAAATAAATTTATGAAGAGCACGTCTTCATTTGAGAGAGAGTGATAGAGGTAGATAGAGACAGGTAGACAGAGAGCGAGAGAGAGAGAGAGGGGGAGGGAAAGAGAGAGAGAGAGGGGGGGGAAGAGAGAG